CACAGGATATATAAACAGCGCTATCAAAACCCAAATTAAGCGTTTTGCCGAACCGATACGGCTTTAAAACCTTTAAGCAGAGAGCGTACTCCTTCCTAAAAGCCGGCAACGCGTTTGTGACTCCTGAGTTTCAGACATCACTTTTCTTTACATGGGCGGCGATGATCACTTTCCATCGGGTCACCTGATGGAAATTGATCATCTGCTCGTCTGCCCCCTCTATCATAAAAAAATATAAAAAAAGCAATTTAAGCGGTTAGGGTTACAAAACACAGAAAATTTAGAAAGTAAACCCAACGTATGGGCAATTTGATACAAACTTCGAGATATTCTCAACCAATCAGGCTTTGAGTAGGATGACAATTTTGATATTTTCGAAGCACCCACAATAGAGGAGTTAAATCATTTGTCTTCATAGTCAGCATCCGTTCACATGTTTTAACAAAACCTAGGTATTTATGTAAAATCATTATAATATTTGATCTCTGGGATATATTTTTTAGAATGAGAGAAGTAAGATTTAAGTTTTTGTTATTTTATTATTTGTTTAATATTTAATGGTAGGTGCAATTACCTATGGAAATTTGTTATAACAGTTGATAATTTTGAGTACGATGTGTGATTTGTTTGAAGTAAAGATACCACCATCGTCCCGAATTCCTTTGTAAAGAAGAAACTCCAACCTACCTTTTTTATTATTAAGACCCGATGTCCTACAAAAAGAACAAATTATAATGCATCAAAGTGAATGCTAAAATAATCTTTGAGACAAATAAACGATTGTTCTATCAAAAAATTTTTGTTTCAAGTTTTAACCACTCTTCAAAGCGCGTAAAGTGTCAGGGCTTAAGGCCTTCTTTAACATTGTTCTTTAAAAAGGACACTCGGTTAACTTTACAAGTTTTATTTTTTAATGGCGGACTCAGGAGGTTAAGAGGTAAACGGCGGCGTATTAAAACATCCATGTTTACCGACTGTAATAATTATACTTAAATTATTCAAGTCTATTGGCGTCCTCTGGACACATACTTTTTATATATATACATATATCATAGAAAATAATATTAAACCTATATATCTTAGTAGATATATAAAATTCTTTTGTGCGTGTGTTTGTAACCTAACTACTCCTAACCGGACTAGACCGATTTAGATGAAATTTTGTGTCTATATTTCATTGGGTTCCTGGATGGTTTGAAAGCACAATTGGACCCAGTGCTATGGGTATGTCACCAAATTTGTCACCTAATAGGCGTTACGAAGTTCTTTGGGTCAGCTAGTATATTTATAGAAAATAATATTAAAACTATATATGTCTTTATATACCATTTGACAACGAGAACGGAACGAGCGTTACTACTACGTAATAACAGAAATAGGTTAGGTTATTCAATTTGTCTGATCTCGGGTTCGGTCTTACGACACTAGAGACATGAAAACATAAAGGGATCTCTGCGCTAGTTTCGTGGATAAAAAAGGGTTTATATAATTGATGTAAGTGAAAATTAAGTGTATTTTATTTTAATGACAGTGTTTTTCTTTTTGGATCCTTGTTTTATTTAATACTATTATTATTTCACAGTGCTCTACAGAACTATAATTTCATATAACATTAAACTTATTATACAAGGACACGGTATAACAATGAAAAGATATGTTTCCAAAAACAATTCAATTTAACAATTAAAAAATATTTTTCTATCGACAAGATTTTAAATATTTTTAGATTTTAAATACTCTGCAAAAAAAATAAGTATAGACAAAATATAATATTACTTACATCAATCATTTCATACGAATGTTATCGAAACTCTTTTCAGGTGCCATAAAAAAAAATACACTAATGAGGTTCCATTTTACCTTGAAGATAATTTTTCATTAAAATATAATTTACTCTTAAATTTCGAACATGACATTTGAATTTTTGACTGTCAGTGAATTAGCTATGTCTCATTGATTATTATTGGTGTCCCTTTTAATATTTTTTAAAGAATAAAACGCATTTACAGGGATAATATAAATTTTACAATGTGTATAATAATATATTAAAATCGATAAGGATAATTGCAAGGTGGCAAGGCAAGGCAAGTGTTGTTTGTTCATTGTTTTACTGTTGTAAAAAGTGCCTCTTGTGGTTATAGTATGGCGTCGCTTTTGGTTGGTAAATGGTATTTTAAAATAGAAAGACTACTAAGTTTGAGTGCTAGTGTCTATATATTGTTGTTTTGTATATTCGACGTCGGTTGAAATGTTTATCATTAGTTATTTTTTTCTTCATACTGTACAAGGCTTTTATCGTTGGGTTTTGTTTCTTGTCTTTCATGGCCAACTAGACTAAGTCTAAACCAACTCGAATTATTCCAGAACAAATAAGTTTGTTGCTATTTGTGACATCTTTTGGTTTAGTTCAGCTAACTTAATCTGAGATCCTTTAGTATTTATGAAAAAAGTCTTAATCGTTTTTTACCTTAAAATAATGTACTCGTATCTGATAACATAGATTACCAATAGTTTTAAACTAATACATATTAGTGTATTTGCTATCTAAAACTAAAGCTGTGTTCAAAAATAGAACAATAAAATAAAATGAAGTCCTTATCATAGAAATAAATGGAATGTTACATCTACAACTATTATTCCCGCCAAAATATAATCTTTTGTTTTAGTGTTCTAAAACTGTATAATATACACTGACCATTTTGCAATACTAAACAATAACACTAAATAATAATGAACCGGATATTTTGCAGAGATGTAACAAAATAATAAAAGTTTCGTGAAAATTAATATTTCTACAAAAATAATTCTCTTGTGATTTAACAGAGGATTTCTATTGAAAATTCCAAGTTAAAATGTTTATTAATTTAAACATTTACAAATATAATAATAATATGATTCGAAAAGTTTTACAAATGTTTTTTATCACAATATATCTACAAAACTATATTATCAAGAAGATTTTTTTCTATTACTCTGTAATCCATCATTACAAATATCATTGTTATTATCATAGTCTTCCCAAATTTTACACAAACTTATTTGGGGTCGGTGCAATGAGTTCTTCTTCTATTTTCCTTCATCAAACTACGCACTTCTTTTTTTCATTGCAAAATGGTTTTACCTTTTTATATCTGGTCGCTTGGCTGTCACCAATACTCCTTCAGAATTTAATCGTTCTTTGTACATAGTATGAAGCGAAATGATTTACCATATTGAGATATTCAGCATCACAGTTTATAGTCATACTGTGAAGTCAATAAAGTTCAAAAAGGCATATTTTAAAGATATGTAAATAATTATAAAAGCAAGAGATTAAATCTTCAATATACAAAACAAAACACTAAACGATATTGTCCTGTTTTGTATGGGTATCCCCCACAAACTTGCAACAAAAGGAATTTACTTGACTCCAGTTTTTCTCTAACTATTCACAAAATTTTGTCGATGTTTATCCGTATTTTCTAAATATTCAAATAAACAAAAAAAAAACAATATTCAGTTGCTGTGTTGGCGACATAATAGATATTCTCTTTTTAACATATTGTCAACCTTCGTGAATATATGTATTTTCGAAAAAAATGTAATGGTCTGGCCAAGTTTCGTTCTCAAAAGCCTCAAAATTATTTTGGGAAAAATTTCAATGATTGCATTCCTTGCTGCTTCTTCCTAACCCAATGTAAATTTTAAGGGGTTCCATGTCGGTATTTGTTATTTAATTATCTCGAATAAAATTGTGTAATCTGACTTCGACATGTGGGGTTATTAGCTCATAAATAACTAGAAATAACTTGGTTGCAGTTATTGAGGTAAATGGCATTAGCACAAATAACGCAAATTTGTCTCAACTATCTTGGACATCTCCGAAATGTGCTGTCCCCAAAGAAGTTCTTTGGGAATTATTATTTTATTAATTGGTCATAAAGAACAATAATAATCACCTAATACCATATCATGAAATTGAATAGTTCGTTGTTTTCTTGTTTCTGTTAATGTTACCGTGAATGGTGAATATTTGATGAAAAAATTACCAGTTCTTTAAAGAGTTCGATCACCATAAAAAAGTGTTTTGATTGAATGTACTTTTTCTGTCAGTATCAGTTTCCGACATTCAATAACAAAGATCTTAAAAAAAAAACAGCATTTCGGGTAAAGGTGATCTTGAGATTTGTTCATTATGTAATCAGCACAATATAAGAAACTTTCATAACAGACCGGACGCGTTTCCTAGTTGTTCCATTGATAGAATAACCCGGAATTGATTGTATTGCTTTATTCTATGAGTAGAACAAAGGATAGAACATAGGGTAACCTTCTTTTCAAAAGAAGTATTATTTGAATACTTGGTCAGTTACAAACGATTCAAAACCATTACCAATTAAATTTATATTTGTACTAGCTGACCCGGCAAACGTTGTATTGCAAAACAAAAAAAAAATAGGGATGGGTCACCCTTACCATTTAGAGGTATGAAAAATAGATGTTGGCCGATTTTCAGACCTACCCGATGTGCACACAAAATTTCATGAGAATCGGTCAAGCCGTTTCGGAGGAGTACGGGAACGAACATTGTGACACGATAATTTTATATATAAGATTACGAAATAATATTAGGCATTAATAAAAATTGCATTTATAACAGGTATTTAAAAATATTTATGCATTCTGCGTTGAAGTGAACGGCGTTGAGCTACTAATTTCCTTGAACTAACTAAGAAAAACTAACTAACTAAAAAAGAACTAACGAACGAACTAAGAAAAACTCGAGCACATTACTTGTAAATTGCACGTTCAAAAGGCTGTTCAATAAGAAAAGTAGCTTTTTCTTGAGCATTGAAAGACATGATGCATTAAAATGTTTTGTGGTTCCAGTCCCCTTTGAAGCATAGCATTTATACTTGCATATAATTACGGTTTTTAATAGGTGTTCAATAAAATCAATCATAATAGTTTCTAGTTTATTTAAAATAATTCTTCAAACGAAAAGAACAGTGTTTCTAAGTTTATGCTTTTAAATGCAATTCTGGTGCATAATTAAAAATGCATGTCGTTATTTCGTTGCCGAGTTGGCAAGGGGTTTCGTGCTTGTGATTTACCTGAAAAAATAATAAAAATGATGGTGAGCCTGAACCCAGGGTCTTAACATAGTCGTAAACTCGTAACGTTAATTGTGTGGCTTGTGGTATGCCAATTTTATATCATGGGCCCCATGGTTACTTTAAAATAAAATCACTCGTTGTATTTATGTTGTGTATGGATACATCTGTAGGGGTTCAATCAGAACAAAAAAATGAGCAAATAGAATTCCTTAACTGGTTGGCAAAAATTCAACTGACTACAGAGGATCTGCGTTTAAAAGACAGAACGCTAGCGAAAAAAAATATTGTAATCGATATTTTTTTTGCCATTTTACTTTTTTCTACAAGTTACAACACTACTTCTAAATACGAAATTACGCTTTTATAGGTACATTACATATATATCCAATAGAGCGTTATTATTTTACACAATACTGTCTTATGTAATACTAGTTTCCTAAATATTTACCTCTCTGTCGCAATTTTCCGACACTGCTTTCATGTGTTCCAATTTCTTTTTGTTTGTGAAGACTAGGGGCGTCACGGCGGTCATGAAACCAATCTTGGAGTATTTGTTGCTCTTCACTACGCCAATCTGTTGGCAGCGAGGGTAAAAATTTCTCATATTTATTTTCGGTTTGTTTGTTACAATTATTGTTAACTTATAGCTGACCCAAAAATATGAATAACTTATAATAATATTTCTTTTTAATTTTTTTTTGGCTAACGAGTTATAAGAACTACCAGTAACTTGGTCAATGTAAGTCAATGTAGTGTGTTGTAAGCATTCAGAAATGATGAATGATGAATTCAGATACCTATGTTAAAATGAATCCAAAATGTGTTTAAATCGATTTCATTGAGATTTGTTTTGAATATTTTATTTGTCACTTTAGAGATGCTACAAATAAATTTCCTTTTATAGAGATAGTATCTCCTTCTCTACACAACCCGAAGGGTGACTGGTAGAAAATGCCGTTCTTTCCACTTGACCCCATCGGGGTCCATAAATACTCACTATTACATTTGGACCCCCCCCCCCCTCCGGGGTTCAAGAATAATTACAAAATAAATTTATATTCCTCCGAAGGACATGATATTTGAGAATTATATCCAGTTTTGTATACAAATTAGCAGCCTTATCGCCATGAGGCAATCTCTTGCAGGCAACCATAGGATGAAGTGTAACAAAGTATGTATATTTACAGCATTGAAGCCTAGATGATAGTTAATAAGATTTTTATAAACGTAACGCTCATTTTTTAATTGTAAATTATAAGTTGAGTTCCGGATATTGATATATTCGCAGGTTTCTAAACTGTTCGTTGGGCTCTGTTCTTGCAGTTTTGGGTACATCCATATTTTTCGTAGTATCTACCATTACGGCGTTGTAAGCTTCACTAAAACCTTAAATAACTATCACTAGTCACTACTTAACAGTTTCTAGAAAATGTCCAATTGATATGTGGCATTGTATTTGTAAAAGTTTTAACATTTCTTCTTGAATATCTCTCGTAATTTATGCGTAGCTTTTTTCCGGCTTCATCGGCAATAATGTCACAATTAGGGGTATTTGCTAATTTTCGATACAATTTAATCTGTCTTTTACTTGTCACCATATGCCGACCAAACGTTATGAAACTTAGTTATACAAGTTATGCAAACTTATTTTAAATTCAAAATTGCGAATATTTGATATCACATTGATCTTCTTTTGTAACAAGGAACAGGTATATTACCTTCCTTAATTTTATTAAAAAAAAACGTGTTATAAATCTCTTTATAACCAATTCTAAGGGCAGTATCTCTCCAAAGCACAAAAGGTTTACAACTATTAAAGCTGTTGGTAAGAGTATTACCTTCTCTAAAAGACACTTGATGATGCACGCCGATGTCTCCGGGTAAGGCGGGTCTTCGCGTAGCTTCTCCAAGTCGTGTACAGTGGCATTAACGTGGTTCATGCATGAATGTGCTGTTGCCACTAGAGATCTTCTTATTAAATTGCTAAAGCGATTTTCTGCAAAAACAAAATAAAAAAGATTTGGGAAGTAAAGCAAAACATTTTTCTAATAAGGCCCTTATTGACCAAGAAAAGTAACGTAGTATTATGTACTTTTGATGTGCTTGACTTCGATCTGGTTGAACAATTTTAGTCAGCATTTGACCATGACCAGTGTAAACTGAAAAACCAGCTCCGATATAATAATTACTAAAATAGTTATGTACGATTCATATATAATTACACTAATCATTTAACCGAAGGCCATTCAAAGCGCAATTTATTTAAATATGTTTGTATATTCGTAATCCGTTTAATTCTAACATGTTCATTTGTAAATTAAGAAAAAAGAAAGTAAATATTGAGACAAAATAAGGACCAAGCATTTAAAACAAATAAACACAAGAAAGATACAACTTAAACTGAAAATAGAGAAACTATATCTAAAATAAGTTTTTTTTACAAAAGTAAGATTTTTTATAAGTTATCAAATTTCAAAATTGGTAAATATTTTCTATAAAAGAAACTCGATGAAAACAATTGCATAGCTATATAATTTGTTTGCCTTAGTTGTTGTGTGATTCTTTGAGGGTATCAGTTTTTTTTGTATCAAATATTTGTACTTATTTAATTTTCAAAGTAAAGACAATCATTTCTTTACTTAGAAATATATATACATATGTTTGTTCTTCAAAAACTGATTTCTTGTCCCAAGTTACTAAGTTACTAATACGATCTTTAGCGTAAGAGACACTCTTTGATAGAAACATTCTATGTATGAGACGTTTTTTTTTATAATATACATATTTCTATATTTAGCAAGTTTTTTTAAGATTCATTTATGTTTTATATACGAGTATTTCAACGAACTTAGTACTTTGAAAACTTGAAAAAGCTTTTATTCACTAACACCTTTTTTTCGTTTTGAGGCAAATTAATTTGCAATTTAAAAGTTTTCAGAAGGTAAAATCGTAAACGTTTATTAAGAAGTTTAACTATATTTTACTAAACAGTGTATTTCCTTAAAGAAAGATCGTTCAAGAAAGAAAAATAGTTAATTTATTTCTGTCATATAATAACTTATTTAAAATAACACATGATATTAAAATGTTCGTTCATTAAACATCCTCACCTGTGCCGTCAAGTTCTCCGACCACATTATGAACAACATAACCAATGTAAAATGTAATTATGTATCTGTACGCGTACATTTTGGACGAAATACTCAAATGAAATAACTTCGTGTAATGAGGGAATAATTTTGCAGTGTTTGACCACAGATGTGACAGATAAGATCTTTCTGGTTGTGCGATTTTATCATTTACAATTTTTTTTATGCACTTCAATGTTCTTTTTAAAATTGTAGAGTGTAGTTGTTGATGGTGGTATATACGTTAGTGAATTTTATAGGGATAATTAAAGGTAAATTGTATAAAATTATAAATTAACGTCCCTGATCAACTAATTAATGATAAGTAACTAAAAGACGTTCTATTTTACTAAACACTGAATACTATTGAATATAACGAAAATTTCTCCCAAAGTATCACCTGTTTCTGATAAATACGTCATGTATGTGGAGTGAGATAAAGAAACAAATTTATTTACGTTTTTTTTTACTATGAAATAGCAGAGTTTATACATATTTATCCAGGAAAAGAAATGATTATAGAATATATTATAGTCTTGTAATTCTAAATAGTAGTTGTAGTTAGCTTTTAAAATCAATGTAGTTAGCTTTCAACGGTGTTCAATATACTACCTATCTATTATATTATAAAAACTGAGACTGTACTGTTTATTGAAATAGCTGCTACCTCCAAAACAATAAAACGATTATATATAATACCTATGGCATTTAACGTAGAAAGTTGTGAAAATATATTTATAAAATACTTGACTGATAAAAAACCAAAAATCTTCCATATATTACATTTTTAGCTTGCTGAAATATGTGATGTTCCAAAGTCACGTGAAGTAAAGTATAAATACAAATCGTTTAACGCTTTGATATTATATTGTAATCTGATCTCAAACAACGAAGCTGTTGATTCTATCGAAACAGTCAGTCAAAATGAATTCATAAATTTTATCGCCAAAGTTCTATTTTCGCTATTTCGCTCATGTGTTCAATAGTCAGTCTCATCTTACTGCTGAACGAAAGGCCTCCCAAAAGAAGCGCTATCCAACTATCCCAGTCTTGGGCAGTCTGCATCCGTCCGCCAACCATGTTCATAAAATACAGTCCGCCCTACACTATGTTTACCTAATTGCAGTTTCCACTCTAACACATATCGGCTCCAGCAACCATTAAGTCCGTCTTGCGATTTGGACGACCCACTTTTATTTCAGCGTACTAATTCTCAGTATCACAATCTCATCTCAATCTCAGGTAGTCACTCTACAAAGTAGTTATTCATCAAATTACCAATAGAATTAGAATTAGGTTCCACACAAAATAATTTAACAAAATCAATCCTTTTGTATTTGAAAATAAAACTGGCGTCCGAAAATCATCAACACGCGTAACTATTAAAATGATTTATCGTCTCATGAACACTGCTTGCTGGTGCCACTAAATCATTCCCATCGTCAGGCACAGGTTTTGCTTTGTTACCATTAATTTAGTAAACAATGTAATATGGATCCGACCACTAACAAATTGGTAACAATTGGTCTATCCAATAGCGACATTTATCAAAGTCTGGTGCTAAATGCGCGTTTGTTGTGAATGATGATGTAATGTGATGATGTGTTGTAGTCAGATTGTGGAAAATCACTGCTTTGAATATTCGTAATATAATATATAAATAATAATTCAAAAACAAAACTAGGGTGTACGTTTCGCGTATATAATGTATCTGCGTATATATATAAAGTTACGTTACGTAAGTTACGTTACGTTGCGTTACGTTAGTTGTATATTTATATTTGAAGATCACTGTTTTATTCTTACATCTTCTTCATTCACATAACATCAACATCTTCTTTAACATTTTCCAAAAAATCATTTTGGGTCGGCGCAATCACTGCTTACTCCCTTTCTAGATATATTCTCTTACACGCGGACCTTTATTTCATTGCAAAATAGATTTGGCTTTTTATTTTTAAGGCCGGTCGCCTGACCGATGCCAAGCCTTCTTGTGATGGTCTACTTCCTCCGACCCTTTTTCCCAAACTAGGGTGGGGTCTGAGTTTACTACGACACGATTGAACTTCGATTATTTCCGTTTGGATCGACCTCCATTAGACCTCCACAACCCAAGTACTAGGCGTTTTTTCAAAGTTTTGTAGATAGGCTATTGTCGGAATCTTTAGGGCTTCAACTACCCGTAACTATTGCCACAGATTTCGTATGGCTACCGGGACCGACGGCATAACGTGCTCTCCGAGGCACGGAGGGGTCTCAATGTGTAAAGAATGACTACCCATCCATGTTCTGTTCTGTCCTGTCCTGTCAGACCTGGCTAGGACTGCTTAACTTTGTAATGTGCTAACCTACTCGGTGACCACTTAGCTATTAGCCCCTCCTTGGGAATGTAATCGATTAATAAAAGAATAACACTTTTTTTTTATTACATCAACTGTGCGTATTCGACGATAATACAAACTGTTTATCTTTGATAATGATAACATGATACAACATGAGGTAAGAAATGTTGAACAACTGGTTCAACCTTATTGTGCTTTTTTTCAAACTTAATGTAATTCAAAAGTTTTATAATTGTTATGCTATTGAACTAGTTTTGTTATTCCTTTAATTAGCTTAGAGTTTATTTGACAAAATAATATGACACAGCTAATGTATTCCATAAGCTCCTAAATATAATTTTGACCAATAAGTTCTGACAGAAAACAGAGGTAACATATCATATTAGCATCACGTAGCCTATTGGCCTACTTTCTTGGAAAACATATTTTTTTGTTTCAGAAGTCCAAAATTGAATATAATATTCATGTAAAGTATACCCAAGTAATAGAAAAAAGTTTTTCCCAAACTTTCTTGCTTCGATGAACACCTTAACCAGACCATTTTCTGAAAGGTTTTCCTTCCGAAGTTTGTGTGTAGTAAATTTTCCTGCCTGTATCAAAAATAATATTTCTTTTTCCTATTTTGATCATCGCAAAATATTGATATGTTTTGTCCTCTTATAAGCTGTTCAAAATACTTATAATCTATAAAACTCGAGAACAGCTGTACATGAAAAATGAAAAAAGTTGTAGAAGTCGATGCTCTACCGATTTCATCCTCGAGGCCGTTTTCGATATTTATAAAAATAAATCATTACAATAAATCATATATCTCAATCAACCATCTCTTGATTAACCTCGATTAAAAAATAAAAAAAAAAACAAAAAAACATAAAAACCATGTTGAATCTCGTTGCACAATTTTTCCGCTTCCGCTATAAAGAATCAGAAAGGAACAAATCGATGTACACTTTGTTCTATACCCAAAAGTCGCAAAGATATATATCAATCTTGATGAAATATTCGCGTATATCAATCTTGATAGGTGTGTTCGATTTTAAAATCGCGTAATGTACGTATTTTACCCACGATTTTACTGTTCTTTTTGGACTTTAATGGACTTTAATGGACCTTAATAGTACTTTTTGTAGTTGACTGTTCGTTTAATTGGGTCGCAACACGTTTATATTATATTGCCTATACCCTTTGTACATAAATAAAGTAAAATAATGATAAAAATAAATTATTGAAGTCGGCCTGAGTGTCCAAACATACAAGCTATTTAGTTGTCTCATACTGCTACAGATTTATTTAATTTATTATTCTATAAATAACTAAAATAACGAGGAATTGTTGCTGTAAATAATTACAATTCAAATGCAATAAAATAATATAATTCTAAATAACCAGCTGTACTCTGCCAGGCTTAAAACCAAGACGAAAAATAGATAAAAACAATTTTTAAAGCTGGTTGTTGGCTCTTGTACATCGTGTCAAAATTTCAGGTCAATCGGTGTTGAACTTTTCGCGAGTTTTTGAAGCGTACAGAAACCAACAACATTTTTTTATGTGTAGAAAATTATGCGCTATTTAAGAGTATTAATTCAATGATCAATTCAAATGATCAATTATTTGGAGTCTACATTTAATTTAAACTACATTATCTTGTTTTATTGTTATTTTTTGTTATCACCGTTAACAATTTCACTTTTAACAAATATGTACAAAATTAATTAAGACTGCTTCTAGACAAAATTGGTTAATTTTGCATACTCTTCTACGTTACTGCCGTTTCGCTGGTCTGATATATAGCTATCACGAAAGTTATGTACATACGTATGTGCTACAAATAGATTATGCCAACGACACAACTTAAACGTGCTTGTATGCTAGTTTTTCAGTTTATACTTAGTGTTAAACATGTTTTTTTTTGTATAATTTAATTAAGATAGATAATTTAACTTTGAAATTATAAAGCAGACATGTTGCTGAATTATTATTCGTATTATGTATTTACATCATAAACATTGATCTAGAACTAAATGATTTTGAATATAATGTATTGGCCTATTTCTCTTGAATAATATCGCATCGGTAGTCGGAGGCCGCATCCGGAGTCACATCCGTTATACTATACACCCATATATTGCAGCACGACCGGTTGAGGTTATAAATTAGACGATTAATAATAGAGGATTGGTTGTCATCGTTAGTTTATTCGATGACGGGTGTGAAATAGAATATTTTTAACGGTTAATATTGCAAGATTTTATGTGTCCGTTTCAACTGCTAAGCCACAGTGTCGTAGAAAAAAAACGACTAATCAACATTACGAAGGAATTTGTAAAACTCACAATGAAAGCCGCAAATTCGTAGATCCAATATTCAGAAAGTTGTAAGGGTTTAACCGGCCACGCAGTTCTCTTAATCGGAGCTTAGTAATAGTGGTCCCATTCTTTTCATTCACAGTATGAATAAAGCCCTAATGTTTGGACTTCATGACCTACAGAACTGAAAACCTAAAATGCAACTTAGAAGAAGGATGACCAAGATTTATGGTGCGTCAATCATTTCCAAAAGCGTCGTTTTATATCACGTAGGTATCTATTATTATCATAATGAGGGAATAAGAATGCTGAATAGGGAATGTGCATAAAATCTAAATTTGTCTTAAATATTTCTTTCTACATTCTTAATTGTCTTTACATTGTACTTAAAAGGTATTTTTTTATTTATTTAT